CTCTCTCTCTCTCTCTCTCTCTCTCTCTCTCTCTCTCTCTCTCTCTCTCTCTCTCTTTCTATCTCTCTCTCTCTCTCTCTTTAAAAAAAATGATATTCTATAACATTCTGCCTCAACTATGCATTCCCCTTGCCCTATCCTGAACCTTGCCAACATCCATAAATTCTCCTCCTTTTTTTGATATCTTGGCCCTTACCATGATCTATAACTTCTCTACTTCTATAATCAGAAACTCGATCACATTATCTACTATGACTACAGTCTCTTATTCTTTCTCTTCTTATTCCTACCATTCTTTTATCTCACAGGTCTGTAGTTCATTATTTTCTCTGCTTTCGTATTTCATTCCATCAGCTATTTTCTACTACTTATCTAGCTTAGATTTAATAGTCCATCATTTTAATAATTATTCTGCCAATATCTTAAACTCTTTGCTCCTTTGCACCAGTCAGGCAACCCTCCATCTTCCAAGAAAAAAACTTAATCTACTTTCAGCTTGCTTCTAAGTAGCAGAGAGAATGTACACAATGTACCAAGTATATTGATTACACTGTAGAGTCATGATCATCAGCCCCTAATTATCAACTTTACCCATTAATCTGACTATTTCTCTGGTAAATTCACTCTCCATCTTTTACAATAGCTATTTCAAACCCTTGTTCTCCTCAAATATCCAATAAACCCATTTCTCCTTTCTCATCCAATATTCATCTACTAGTTTTTCCCAGACCACATATTAATAGGAATAAATATCCCAAATGAGAGGAAAATTGTAGAGTTAGAATACTTAAATAAATTTTTATAAGAATATAAAATGATACTATGTGGCTTTTAGACATATGCATGGGTAGTAAAATTGTAGCAGACATATTAATGATAAACATAAATTTAGAATAGAAATTATCTCTAGGGAGGGAAGAAGAACAAGTGTCTATAATAGCACGATTGCATTGTAGTTGTTCAGGTTATAAATTGCAAAACTCCAAACAGCACCATTCATATTAGAGCATGAGGCAACCTTGATACACAGGGATCTTCAATTATGGTTGTTCAATATCTGTTCTTTACTATGCTCTATATAATATTTCAAATGAAAAAATAATAATAATACAGAATGAGCAGTGAGGATGCAGGGTTAAATTAATATAAGCCATTCTTCCAAAGCAGTTTTAGCCATGAATAATAATGTCTATGACAGTGACTTGAATAGATACATTATGAAACATTTTTATGGAAGGATTAGTATAGATCAATAATCTTAACAGGAAAAAAGTTAAAAGCATGAAAGAAATAGAAGAAACAATTCATGGATTCAACTTTTAAGAGCAAATCCTCTTTTAATATTTTTGATTCAATGTCAAATTTCCTATGAGATTCTACTCTAGCATTTTTTACAACTCTTCATATTTCTTTCCTTTGAGATAAACTTTAGCCTACAAGGCATATTAAAGAAGAGATATTTAGAGTGGCTAAGGAAAGAACTGAGTTTGGATGGCCTCTGTTTCATCAGTTAACTATTAGGAGATTGGATACAGTATATGAACATGATTAAAGAGTGAGTTTTGTAAAGAATAGAGACTGTGAAGCTTTTTTTGACTAAAGAATAAACTTAAGGAGAAAAGGTATCATTTGAGAGAAATTTTATAGAAAGGTGACACTGACAGAAAAAAATGAATATTAATATGTTTTACTCCAGAAATAAGACAGATTCCATACTAAATATGTAATTGGATGGGTATGGAGAATTGAAAATAAATTAAACTAATTGATAAATATAGGAAGACCTGAGAAATTGAACAATGATACTTTTTAAATAACATTTAAAAATATAAACCTATGGAGGACTGAAGCTGTAGCTCAATGGTAGAGTGCTTGCCTAGCATGGGTGAGGCACTGCACTGGGTTTGATCCTCAGCACCACATAAAAATAAATAAATAAAGTTATAAATAAATATAAATACACACACACACACACACACACACACACACACACACCTATGTGGATAAATATAAAAAGTTTTGCCTGGGTCCTTTCATGGAAGGCTATAAAACGCTATTGAGAGAAATAAAGACCTGCAAAATGTTCACGCCTTAGAAGAGTCAGTATTATAAAGAAGCCAGTTCTCCTAAAGCTAATCCATAACTGTAGTACAATCTCAATTAAAATTTCAGCAGGATTTTTGTTAAAATTGACAAATTCTGTGTAACATTTATGTGAAAATGCAGCGGCCAAGAATAGCTGAAATAATCTTAGTGAATAAAGTTGTAAAACTTATACTACTACATATTGTATAAAAGATACAGTAATTAGTATAATATGGCATTTGCATAAGGATATTTAGACCAATGGAATAGAATATGGAGTATAGAAATGAACCCACATTTTTAACTGTTTAGTTTTTGGTAAAGGTGGCAGTGGATAGCTGATAATAAAGGTTCATCTTATTATTCATCAGATGGAAGACTATATGAAATTAGTGAAAATGATCCTGACCTCACTCTGTACACACAAAAAAAATCAAAGTGAACTATAGATCTAAATATGGAAAGAATCTTTTTCTTATTATAAAAAG